ATAGTGATAGTTGAGTTTGATAAGCAGAACTTTTATAGTGATAGTTTGATATGGCAGTTGCTTTGGGAAAAAGCCTCAAACAATTACGCAGCACGTCATAATCATCATAATCGCTGGCCGAGTCAGTACCCTACAGAACACGGGGCGTTGTTACAGAGATTACACGTGAAAGCCAGAACTACCAGTTCGGCGCACCCGATTGCCGCAAACTTCTAACGTTGCATACCTTCCCCACCTTCAACGCATTATGCTGAATGTGGTCTGAGAAAGTTAAGCAGACATCGAGATACATTTGAAGACAGAGGATTAGCTTCCTCTTCTGCAAGATGGGACCATCCGTTCCACTCCTTGCAGAACGTTAAAGCGTGTATTATGGGGTATAAAAATGTCTCGAGGCACCAACTGGCGATTAACCTTAACATTCAACATTGACCAGCTCTCTATCTTCATTCTCTCTGCAAGATAGACAGGCACAAGCATTCCTTAGTCAATTCTCCGTAAACTCTCAGTTTGCTAACAAACCGTAATAACAGGGTTTATTTTTATTATGGGCAGGTATGTTTGTTCTGCTTGCTGCTGTCGTTACCCGTGCCATATTGTACGCATACTTGGGACAGATGGGGATAGACTGACCTGACAGTCAGTTGTATAGATGGAAAAAAGCAGAAAGGGAGGACCTGTCCTTGAGTGATGTTTAGATTATTCGTGAGGTTCGTTCCTGACAGGTGTACTGCAGACCATATCACAACGTACGGATTGTAGTGGGACTACCGTAAAACTCCAAAAGCGGATTACATGGCACCTTGTCGTAAACTGAGGGAAAGTGAAGGGAGGCACTGTGTCTGTGCTCTTTGCTTTATTCAGCTGGTGCGTAACCTGGTGAATCAATGCAGTCAATGCTTCTGTAGTGCTTGAAGACCTTCTTAAGTCGAATTGAAGCATGTCAAGTTAGGATGACCAAGGTACTGGGATGAATGGCAGCAAAATTCTCTCAAAGCACTTGGACATGGAGCGACGTTGACCATGGTTCAGTCGATTCCGCTCGAGGAATAGACGAAACACTTGTGGTGGCGGCCGCCACATACCACTCCTCGTGTAACCAGATTACGACACCACCTTTGTGGTTTTTATGTCTGGGTGAAGTGTCCACTCAAAGTTTGATGTAATGGTGAATCGCCACCAGCTCACTATCGACGTCAGGGATCAGACACGGTTCTTGGCACAGAGCAACAGCCGAGTGTTCCAGGCCTTTTCCTTTTAACAGCCATGCCAATTCGTGCAGTTTCTTTAGGCATAAAATTGCAGTTGGTAGAAAACACCGTTGCAAATGTGAGCGTGTTGCACATTTGGAGTTTAAGTGCCGACCTCCAATTTCCTTACGAGTCGCGCTTTCTCCATGAGCCTCGTACAACGCTCTCGAAACGCAGTCGTTGGACGAGGTGTTCGTAGGTAACCCTCTTACACAATCGTTGCGGATATCAAGCATACCTGCTGTCGTGTGCGAAAAGCGCGGCGATACCATCTTCTTCTGCCGGCATCATGGAAGTAGTAGGTTTCAAAGTGGTCTAGGAACGATAATTGAATAATACAGTGATTACCGTGTGGATGGGCGCTGAACGCTATTTTAAGCATCAGCAATGTCTCACTGCGGAGCATTAACTGAACCGACCGCACGATGCACTAGCAGACTGACAGTCAAGACGAAGAATCCAAGGACTTAATGATGCCAACTTTAGGTCTGGCCTGAAAATGAACCTTATGAATACTCAGGGCATGTTTGACACCCTTGACCCCATTATATTTTGAAGTAAATGGACTTAGGCTTGAAAAGGTGCAATGCTACGTCTTTCTAGGACAGCTCGTCTCTACAGCGGATAGAAACGACTCTAGAACT